TCTTTGCCAAATCCAACCATTTTAAAATGTCATCTCTTGGACACTTTTAAAGGTCATCGTTCGCCAATTCCTGACATCAATTAAATGATGAAAAAAATAATGAACAGATAAATTGATGAAGAAGTCAAACTTACTTTCACAGCAACAAAAACTGAAACAAATGAGCCACCTGTCAAATTATGAGTTCCTCTGTTTTAAATGTTGGTGATAAAGTAACTATTTTAAGTCATTGTTGGCATACCTGTGTGTCTGAGGAATGAAAAGTTATATTGTTTTGTTTACAAGAGCAAGAACAGGAGCTCATTTCACAAAGACTTTAAAGTTGGTATCCAGACACAGACTTGCAATGAGACTACATGATATGTAGTGCTTAAGTGTGTCAGTGGATTATCATCATCTCATTGTTTTGCCAAAGTTTGTCAGCTGGTGGCCCCCTTCCATCTATTTGTTGTGCTTTCATGACCAATCTGATGAACAGCCACCCCTAAGCCCTATCCTCTCACCCCTTACACCCACCCCCTCCATAAACCCAGCAGGATTAAACACCCCCACACATATGCCCCCCAGATAAAATATATGTGTGTGTGTGTGTGTGTGTGCTGTGTGTGTGTGTGTGGTGGGGGTGTGGGGGAGGACATGTCTCCGTGGGCACAATTTGAGTGTGAGAGCATCAACTGTTGTTTAGCTCCTTTAATAGCAGCTTTTCTATTTAGGTGCCAAAGTCACAGGAACAGAATCTGTCGGTGGGCGTCTGAATGAAGGAGGCTGACGAGCACAGTTAACCTGCTGCGTGCACAAATGCTCCTCTATGCAACTCAGTGTGATGCACAAAGCGCGAACACATCGTTACACCGGGTGTACGAGCATGCATGCAAACCCTCGCGCAGGACACAGCGCGCGTTTTTGTTTTTGTTTTGTTTTTGTTTTGTTCGGTTTTTTTTTTGCATCTGAAAGCATGTCAAGTGGGTAGTGTAATGGGGACGCAGGTGACAGAGGTGTGAACTCACATGCCGACGTCTCCATAGGTGTTGTAAAATTCCATCTGGGTGCACGCCTGGATCCAGCCCACCACCCATGTCTCGTTGCGCGGAATAGGGGGCATCACAATCCGCGCCGAGGCTTTGAAATAGGGCGTCTTGTATCTCAGCACTATGGGCGAGTTCTCCTCGATGACAGTCGGGCAGTGGTCTATGGTGGCGGACAGGTCGTACACCACGATGTTCTCTCGTTTGATGCGTGACTTGTTACAGGCTATGCTCTGGATGCAACCCATGGCTGTGCAGGTAAAGGTGATGGTCAGGAGCAGCCAAGAGAGCCTGACAGGCCTGGGGAGCAGCACTGCTGACCGGGACTCGACCAGTACCCACACCGTGAGGCCGTGCATCAGATGAGACTGTAAGGCAAAGGTGGGTGCTACCACGCTGTAGGCCCGGATCAGAATCACAATAAGGCTTCAGTGAGGGACAGCTGGGTCCAGTGAGACCCGGATCCAGGCTCTATCCCCCTACCCGTGTGTGTGTGTGTCAGCAGGCGCCCGCACATCAACCCGCTCCAGGGGCGCTGCTCTGAGGCTAACCCCGGGCTCTGACCCCTCTGGAGGCTGCAAGCCACAAGAGAAACACCCTGCAGGGATTAATGAAGTATCACATGAATGTTTGATACGGTATGGTTGTATCCCACTCCACTCGAACAGTGCACACTGTCTGTGACTGTGTGCCCTCTCCTCAGGGACCGGACCCGCCTGCGCTCCTGTTTGTGAAACCCCTGCCCGTAACCTCTGATCCTCTTCTTCCTTCCCCGAGCTGTCATGTCACACGAGGCGTCGGGGGACCGGCGGGCACCGGGGCGCCGGCAGGGGGACCCGGTGGTCGGGCGGCGAGGCTTGTTGATGCGGCACTGTACATGAGACGCTGCTGCCTATAACCTGAGCGGCGACGTTGCTCTCCGTCATGCCTGTCGACTCGACGGAGGGGAAACCCGGTGAAACACACAAAAACCTGGGAGTCCGAGCATCTGTGATGAGGGAGGAGAAGAAAAAAAAAGAAGAAAAAAAATCAGCTTTCTCTCGCAGAGTTAGACGACACAGGCGGGTTGTTCCCGATCACACGGAGGGAGACAATGCAAATAACCCGGCTGGCAAGCTCTGTCACACACTGGTGAAACAATGGCATTAAGCTTCATAATAATATGAGACAAACAGAGTCACAGGAACCGTGCAGCGCAGCGGTCGCCGCTCGGCATCCTCATTTGATGAAAGCTGCATGGCTGTGTGTCGCTGTTCAGCCTGCGTGGTGCTGAAGATGCTCAATGGACCAATGAGCGGCGGAGGGAGACTGAAGGCGTAGGAGTGCCCGCGTCTGCACAGTAGTAGCTTTACGACCTCTCTCCTCCATATTGGAGTAATGCTTTCTAATCGCATAAACACAAAGCGCACAAGGCCCAGATAAGCCTCCAGTGGATGGGCTGTAATTCTTATTAATGGGGCTGCAGAAGCAACAGGTAGTCTTTATACAGCTTAGGTGTGGTTTTTGGAACTATTTAGCCCAGATACTGCGCTTATTAAACTTCACTATTTATTTTAATAATGCATCCTCTTAAATGAAATAGACAGAGATGGTGTGTTTTTAAGTGTAAAAACACTTGATTGGCTTGTGGCAGTCAGCTGCCAGAGGCATTTTTCAAAATAAAGCCGTTACAGTATTTCCTAAACACTCACAAGGGAGCCTATATACAGCTACTAGCTGTTAAAGTGCATTATATTTTTAACAGCTGGTAGAGTTTGCCCAGGTATCACTGAAAATTAGGTGCTCAGATTTATTTATTTTATTTTCTCAGCATTTTACTTACAGACTTCTCCTCTATGCTGGTTTAAAACATGAGATTGAAAAAAGAAAGCTACCAAGTGGACCTTGTCGTGAGATTGTTTTGTCAACTGCTGTTTCCAAAGTCAAAAATCAACTTTGAATCTCTGTGTTGATCTTCTTCCTATCAACAGATACACTGATGACCTATAGCAAAGATAATTACAGCACCTGTCTTTTAACTTTTAGCTCCACCCACCCCAGATCATCACGCTTTATTGAAATACCAGATAAACCAGTGTCATTTCACTTCACTTTCAAATAATAAATAATATAAAACAGTTTTGCTTTGGATCTATAAACAAAGACTCAAGACTCTTTATACACACTGCAAAAAACAGTAGTAACCTGTGTGGGTTAATGGACACTGTCACAGCTGTATGAAGCATCGCCACACAGGGAAACGTCATCCCAAATACAATATATGTAATAAACATAAGGTTTTAACAATGTTTAAACCAGCGGAACTGTCCGTTGTTGCATGCGCCCTTTTATTTTGAAAGTCCTCGGCATACACTGCGCAGCGACGTCACTTCCGTGCGTGAGGGTAGTGAGGCTGCTGATTCACAGCAGAGAAACAACAACGAGTTTGTAAAATATAAAACATGTCAGCGGTATAAACGGTGGGAACTCAGCGACAGGACTTCATGCAGGTCATCATGGTGAGTGTCTGACATTTTATTCTACAATTAAATATCTGAGAGACTCAAAGCTAATACTTCCACATGGGCTGAGCTAAAGCTAAGCTAATGGTAACTAGTGTATCTGAAGTTGTTGCATTATTGTCAGTCAGTGCTTGTTAATGTAACTATTGTAACTATTGTAACTATTGTAGCTAAAGCAGATGAGCCATGAAGAAAGCCTTTATTTTATTTTGATAAACACTAATTACTGCCTAGTCATCTCGCTCAATATAACTGTATTCGATCAATAATATATAATATAATATCAATAAATAATTTTTTTTAGATTCATCCATTAATTATTTAGCCCATAATATGTAAAAAAAAGCACAGGTTATGTGCTTACTTCGTCTGTCTAAAGGCCAGAACATAATTGATTTATAATAATATGGACACAAATATTTGCAAAAGCTTTAATTATATTTATTTTAAATTTATTTTTCATACGTATATCTTTTGGTTAAAGGAACGATGACGACGATTAATAATAATAACCAACTTGGAATGATTAATTATGTTAATCTGTTAATTGCCTCAGCAGTAAAATAAATCCTCCCCTCTAGATAGGGCTGCACAATTAATCAAATTCAAGTGAAAGTCGCAATATGGACAGCATTATAATGAAGTGCTGTAGTGCTGCAGAGACATCCTGGTCTTAGAAAGTTCTCCAGATGCAAGAAACCATGTTTGTTCGATAGAGACCATCATGAGCCTCAGTGAAAATGAACATTGTGATGCAAAAATTATCTTAAAATTGCAATATCTGTCAAAATATTCACAATATATATTATTTTTACCATATTATACAGCCCTACTTGTAGATGTTATGTGTTCACTTTATATCATTTTCTCCCTTTAGGTCCCTACAGACTTTAAAACCCTGATCCAGAGGTTTTATCACCTTCAGTCTGAGCGGGTGGAGACGTATCAGCTGTTTGAAGAGTATGTACCACACTGTTGTTGTTACTGCCTGTAACTATACACACATACTTTAACAGGCACATTTCCTCCAGTGATCACTGTTCTTCATTTCAGACACGTGAACATAGTAGTCTGAATTATACATTACATCATTGGTTTCTGCCTGTGTTTTTCTTGGTCTTGTTTTGGCCGCCACTGCCTTCCAGAGGACACGAGGCCTACTTGAGGACAGGGCCGCATTATGACTTCGACCACTACAGGCAGCTGGTCCATGAGATAACGCAGGCCTTCTGCGGCCTCTCCAAGGAAGTGCTGGAGATCAAGGGGAGGCTGCACCACGAGTTTGACAGGCCAGACCTTTCTGAGCACATTGAAAAGCTGCAGAACAAAGAGAAGCAGAAACTTGAACTGGTAGGTGAACACTCACTGTGTGCTACAGCAGTGTACAATACAAGGAAATGTATGTAATAATGTGTGTATATATGCTTTTATTTAACGCTACACTGGCCATTGTTGTGGGATGGGGGACTTTATACCTTTATTTTTAAGACTGTACACCGGTCACAAATGTCTTCGTACGGATGAACTAAAGACTACATGAACAGATTGATATTTTAAAGGGTTGGAAAGAAGAAATAATACAGGCAAACTGAATAAATCAATCCATAAATAGACTGAATTAAACAGATTCATAAATAACTGAAGAAATCAGTCAAATCCAAACGAGTAAAATAGCTAAACAACAATCTGTCTATGTAATCTTTTTATAGGTAAATACAGATGTGTATTGGAGGATTAATTAATTAATTAGTATTTTCTTTTGTAAACCCTGTCGTTTGTAAATTCTTCATATTCTTTCATTATGATTAAATATCAGGATTGCTTTATGGCCTTTTACAAGAGTCTGTTAAAATAGTTACTTTTGGTCTGTTTGATATAGTTCCACTGTTTCACCACAAGGAGGCAGAGTTCTTGTGCAAGTACCGGTTTTATCATCATGTTCAGGATTCAAAGACTCATAATCAGAAATGACATAAATGTTTTAGGGAAGCACCACTTACTGCACGATGCTCCTGATGGGATTATTTGGAGCTTTTTGTGCTGACTGGACAGCAAACACTAATTCCTCTTCAGTTGCAATTATTCAAAGTTTTAAAGTGGTTCTGTTTCCAGTGACATGAAAGCTGCAGTCTGTCTGTGACGCTGGTTGGACAGACAGTTTGAGTGAAATTGGTTTTAAAACATTAACGCTTCGGTGCTTCCCACATTCTTATACAGCCCACATGTAACACATCTGGTGTTCAGAGTTGATGTGCAGCACTTCTCTATGAAGTTTTACGCTCCTTTTGTCATATTAACTCAACGTCCTCTCTGCCAGTAATGTCATAAAGCCCCTATTATCTTAGAGTTCATACTCTGTCTCCTCTCCATCCTCCACTAATGAATGGTTTGCATAAATCTTATCTGATGTGCCTTCTCAACAGACAGCCAAGCTGCAGCTGGCCAGGCAGCGGGCCCAGGATCACCCGGAGGACGAAGGCTGTCAAGAAAAGATTCAGGAGATCAAGCACGAGTAAGAGCAGCTATAACCACCCCTCCGTTTACTGCGTTAGCTCCCTGCTGACCCATTTACTCACTGACTATCAGCCTGCTGTCGGCTGCACAACTTCCCGTTTCCTCATAATTTAACAGACTGTCCTTTGTTTCCACTCTTATATCATGAAACTGTCAAAACACATTGACAAATGTTTGTAACCGTCTGTTTTCTGGGCTCATTCCTTGTCCAGGATCATCAAGAACAAAGAAGCTCTGAGTGAGATCATGCAGGACTTTAAGTATGACTCCGAGGAGAGTGATTGACAGGTGGCTCCCAGGAGGCCTGCAGCCGCCCCTCTCGCATCACCAGACAGCGGAGCCGGGAGATCGACTCAGCTCTGCTGCAACTTCCTTCTTGGACTCCTCAGCTGCACTTATTGATCACCCTCTGGCCCCACCCTGCTTGCTGCTGCAGTCTTATTCCACCCAGGGGGGGTTTCACATTCTGGTGTGTTTCTGTCTGTAGTCATGTGTTTCTGTTAATGTATGCATCAGAAAGAAACAAAAACTTCTGTTTATGTTGTGATGAAATGTGTAAATACTCAAAAGGTTTAATAATTCTTGGAGGCTCATCCAACTGTCTTTGTTTACTTGATGAATTGTATTTTTAAATAAAACACTTTCCAAGACAAGTTTTACTCTTTACTGTTCTGTACATTTTACACAGGATTTGTCAGATACATTATTGATGCAGTAAAAGAATATAACTTAGACAAAAAAAACATTCTTTAAATATGGTTATAAAAAATATAAACATGTATTAAAATGTCTTTAAATGCTCAGACACAGGACAGTATATACATTTTACACAGTGAGGCCTTATTATATTATCATTTAATTACTAATAGAACCAACACTGGTTTATCTGGCACTTGATGTCTGATTACTGCGTTAAAGACAGATAATTTATTTATCACTGAGCGAGAACACAGTTTTTATTACAAAATGGCAAACACGCATTGGTTCCACTTTATTCTGCTTTTCTCTGATTTATATAATTATAATATATAAAAAATTACAAATCAAAACATTTGCAGATGTCACCTTAGCCTTTAGCAAACAGTCACTGGCATTTTATTTTATAGACAAAACGATTAATCGAGAAACTAATCAGCAGATTAGTCAGATAATGAAAACAAATGTTAATAGCAGCCGCACCCTGAACAGTAACATATGTAGTGATATTCATATACTATCCTTCAGGCCATAATAATCCTAAAGGTCATAACATATATCATATATTCAGACACCGCAGCTTTACAAAAAATACTTGTTTGTTTGTTTCTTGACCTGGAACAGTAGTTTAAGGGTTGTTTTGTACATTTTGTTCCCTCATGTCACTGCCGCTGCTATTCTGTTCTTGTTTTTTGCTTGAGGCTTCAGTAATGTAGCACCATTTAACGTCAAAGTAGCATTAAAGACTTGCTTACCTTACTTAAAATTATTAAAAAGTCTTAACTGTTAAGATAACGTTTGTTTTTTTTCCAGAATAAAAGTGCAGTTACTGAGAAGCCGCATACTTGTGTTTGTGCAAACAGATCTAACAGACAGTTGACCAGCGGAAATGGCAGAAAAAGGCTGCATTGTCTCACTTTACTTATCTTCCACCCGGGCCCTTTAAACTCAAGTTAAGGCAGTATGACCAAACACTGCAGTATCCCTCAGGCTGAGGGCGTTGGGCCTCTCACACACAGCTGGGACCCTCGGGGCCAGTTATCTGTCAGTGTTTCTTGAATTAAACACCACAGTGGTGCAGAGCGGAGGTGCTATGAATTATCGTCTTGTAGAATCTGAAAAGACAAAAGCAGATGGTTCATACTGGGGTAATTCAACAGGAGAGACCATGTAATTTACAATCATCATGATAATTGCTCAGTCTGGCTGCCACTTCTCTATCGTCCTCTCTGCTCCTTCTTTTTTTTGTATCATCTCTTTCTTATTCTCTGTGTATCGCGCCCCAGCCCCCTGCTACCTCTCTCTCTCTCAAGGTAATCAATGGGAACCTGTCACGGTTTGTGAACAAAGACATTATTCAGAAGACAGCGTGTGCCCTATAAAGCACAAAAACCCGGAGACTGCTGAGCTAATTGAGTCAGGTGGAGTGAAGGTTTCAGTGAGTTCGAGGACTGAGCAGTACAGGATGTGGCTCGAAAAGGATCTGAACTCCTCACAAAGTCACATAAACACCCAGACGATGCTGGGGCTCTGCGTGCCATTTGGCCTGAGTTATTTTTGGGAAAGGGGCTCCTCACGCCAACAGAAAACAAAAAGCACAAAAGGAAAACATTACAGCGGGCTGATAATTACATTTACATGTTCGTTTCTGTTTGTTGTGGTCGTCAGCTGAAGATCGTAAGTCTACATCGTTAAAATATGTAATAAAATCAGAGTGCATATCTACTTTTATGCTCCCTCTTCTGGGCCAGTAAAGTCAAAACCGCACATTTTACCTGATCATAAAGCACGGACTGAAACTTCACAGAGCCAGTTCAAGAGAAATCAGTCCCCTTTGGGTTTGTGAAAAATGCTGACCACATGGCACAACAAAGGCAGGGTCAGAAATTCAGCTCAGGACTTCAATGCAGCAGTGGCTGTTTGTGTTTGGGAGAGCGGCGAGATAATGAAGGGAGAGGAGAGGGAGAGGGAGAGGGAGGGGAGAGAGAGAGAGATATTCTGCTTACCTACCTGGTTGCGCGTTTTCTGCGTTTTCTGCAGCCACACCCTCCACTGGTCGTACAGTTTGATTGACATGCCGCTGCAGCCATACGCATGCTTGCGGACCCAGCCGAAGAACTGCTTGAGTTCCCGCCGCAGGGTGGAGTTCTGCTCGCCGGGCTTCGGATCACACAAGCCACTCTGCAGCCGCTCTGGGGGGGAGAGCAGGAGGAGGAGGAGGAGGAGGAGGAGAGAGACAAAGAGAGTGTGAGTGAAGAAAGGAGGAGGTAAGAGAGAGGAGGGAGGGTGAGAGAACAGCATCAAGGTTATAGTTAGGACAAGTGTTGGTACAAGGTGGTGTATAGATGAGCACTATGTAGTGTGTCAGCATAGATGTGACTGACATTATTTTGGCACTTTTTCTAACTATGAATTCATGCGGTCGACATTTTCACCAAAAATAAAATAAAAAACAAACTCAAAACCCATAAAAGGTTTTTTAAAAAATACAATAAAAAACACATTCACACAAGTAAAGAACATTTTCCTTTTGGGTTCATTTATCTACTTGACTGTTATTTTTATTTGATATGTTTTAATTGCTATCTTGTTGTTTTTTAATGCACCCAGACCGCTCTGGAGTGGATTAACATTGTTAAATAAAGGGAATTGTTCTTATGCATGCCAACAGCCTGGCTCTAGGGATGGCAGCTAGTCCACCACTTTACAACTACTGGATGGGTTGCCATGTTTGGACCCACATTCATGGTTTCATAGAACGAGAAATGTTTTTTTTTGTTCAACTTTTAATGTGGAGGCTTAATGCTACTGAAAGTCTTAAGTCTGCTACAATCAATTCTTCATGGCAAACAACAGAGCCTGATAACGACTTCCTCCCTCTGCGGAGTAAATACCACATGACCAGTGTAACTCATTATCTGCTCCTCCTGCTCCCAAACCTGCTTCCACTCAAGCTTTATAGGCCCTGTGTGTGCCGCGGACAGACAACCAGCTTTTTAACTTGATCAATCTTTGAAGCCAACGACTAAAATCTATCAAATGTCCCCCTGGCTCTTTGCAGTTCTTCTAATCCACTGCTGGGAGATCTCTATCAAGGTATCTAGCCTATTGATGTTTGGTTTCTCCTGGGTCACATGCGGTTTGGATCTGCTTGTTCAGGATGTTGAAACAGGGATAACGACATTGTTTTTCTTGCTTTAATTGGCGATGAAAGCTTGATTATTAGAAAAGGAACGAATGGTCAAGATTTGTGGGCATCACAGATGTTTGGGAAGCATTTAAAAGCCATTTAAGACAAGAGACAGACGAGGAAAGAAAGGCTTCAGTTGTACTTTTAAACATTTGGGGGATTTTGTACTGAATGTTCATAGGCACCGTTTAGTTAATCCAGTCTTATAGTATACTTAATATTTCTGTAATTATTTGCTCTGCATCCATATAGAGTTGCATCTTTTTTTTGGTGCAATGTACTCACCACTGCTGGGTGTGGAGGCAGCGGCCGGGTGGCTCCAGTCACTCCAGATGCCGGCCTTCCTGGAGCCATAGATGCCCACTGGATTGCACCTCACCTGGACAAAATAGACGGTCCCGGGTCGGAGGCCTGCCAGCCGACATGACGTCTGGTTACCAACATCATCCACCACCTGCAAGCACAGGTGGCAAAAGTACACATATTCCTTACTTCCAAGTAGAAGTACAAATAGTTACAAAGTACAAATAATGACTAATAATCACCTCAAATGCATTAAAACTAAAGTAACAAGGCTGTTTAGAGTAGACAGTAGAGATATTTGTGTAAAAATGTAGCGGGTAACAGTAAAAAGTCAGAAAAATAAATACTTAAATAAAGTACAGATACCTGAAAGTACAATAAAGTATTTGTACCTCTGCCTGTGAGAGGGACCAAAATGACAGAGAGGATGGAATGGAAAAAAATTATTTCTGCATCTATTCTCGCTGTTTTTACTTTGAACTTTGTTCTGTTTTCATTTCGAATGTAGTCTAGCTTCAAATACATTTAAACATTATTTGCTTAATCCTCTCATTCAATAATGAATCCAGAATTCAAAGTCAGACTGTATGAACCTACACAGCAGAGAGAAGAATATGAAGAGGCTGTTGGCAGAAAACATCAAAGAAGCAGTTTGAAAGAATGTCAGTTTCTAAAAAAACTCCACTACAGCACTTTTATATCAAAGCCAGCTTTTAAAAAATTTACCAGCAAAGAATCACTAGCAGCGGTCAAGGCTTTTACACGAGTATTATTTGCTTTATAATGGAAGCACACACACACACACACACACTAGGGATGCAGCAGGAGCAACTTTCATGTTCATCCTTTATCGGATCTGTCGGTGCCGCACCTCAAATATTTCTACTGCCGCCTCAGAGGTGTCATAGCTACAGAGGAAGTGTGAGTGGGCTAGTCTGCAGGTTTGTGTGAGAGTGTGTGTGTGTGTGTGTGTGTGTGTGTGTGTGAACCACCTTCCATTCAGTGCTGTCCTCCAGTCTGTAGCGAATCTGATATTTGGCCTGAAACAGGATGTCCTTGAGCTCGGGGGGGCTGGCCCAGCGGACCGTCAGCTGGTCCTCGAGGTCGCCGACGCGATTCACCTGCACGTTGGCAGGAGGGTCTGTGGTCACTGCACGGACAAGGGCAAGTGTTAAAAAGTTTGTGTACAGCAGATGTACAGTATGTAGGGCAAGGATACAGGATGGAAGAGGTTTGAATGACCTCCAGAGAGAAAAAGCAATATATATTATCTCATACTCGAACACTGAGGGCAGACAAGTGTCGTGTCTCATCATTCTCCACAGTGAGGATGATCAGTGCTGAGCCAGCGAACTGCCATCTGTCTCATATACAAGTTTAATTTAGTGGGTTTTATTTATAAGGTTAAAAACGAAACAAAAGTTCCACTGAATTTCTCTTTCAAAGAAAAGAAAGTGCAACAAAGTGAGTCAGTGTTATCAAGGGTTTGTCTCTGTGTCTGGTCTTTGTTTCTTGTTTTGTTTTTCAATTATATTCTATTCTTCTCTCTAAATGAACTCTCTTTGCTGAAAGCATGGAATAGAAAATGCTCAGTTGGTAAAATCTATCATGAAAATAACAACCCAAAACTTTTATTTCAGCTATGAAAAAGATGATAATTATATTCATTGTAAGTCACTTTGAAGAGTATAAAGAAAGGAAGGTAAACTGTGATATTTGTTGTTTTATATCTTAAAGGACTCTGTAAAAAGATTTGTATACAGTGTCCATGGCTCAGGAGATGCTTTGTCAAGTCTAAGAATATAACCCTGATGATGTCAGGTAGGGTCAAATGGAAGATCAAGTTGCATTATGGGAAGTGTAGGATCCAGTGTTTTTGAAACTTGACCCATACTGGAGGCTAAAAGTATCAAATGCTTTGCCACTGCTGCTTTGAGTTTGACCAGTAACCCTTTAAAGTACAGCAACAGGGGTCAGTAACATACCTTTATTTGGTCTGTTTCATCGCATGGTGAAAACAACAGTGCCCCACCAGTGTACACTATTCCCCTGTATAACAACATAACCCATTAATGACTAAGGATTATATTTAGTATGTTAAGAAAAAAGCCCTACTGAGTTTTTTTCTGTTAAAAGGTGGAAACATAAAATCTGCTGTGGAAACTGTCAAGACATGTGGAAACATTCCTAACCTATTGTTCTAGGAGGTGTTTTCCTGGAAAATCTCAATAAAAAAAAGCTAGCCCCAGTTACAAAGACTAAAAAAAGAAAGAAGAGAATTCTGTGGCACATTTAAGAGAGAATAATTGTTAAATAAAAACACAAAGTGGTGCTACCATTTAGGAAAAAGAGAATGAATTGTCCAACGATGATAAAAGAGTCTCAAGCATTATTTTCCAGAACCCCTTCACCTTTGGAAATTTCCATGCCATATGTATAGAGGCTCCTAACTTGCCAATAGAGCAATGGGCAAGTGGAAGATTTAAGTATTTCTGGTTCAGGTCATTCTAGACTTTCTTGCTGCAATAAAGGTTGCAAACAAATAATGTGCTTTGAAGGAGAGAAAGACGGAGGGAAAGATAAAGGGGATAGCAGCATGAAAGACAAAGAAAGGAACTTATTAAATGTCTTGTAAAAGTGTTTACTGCTGGTAACCTTCTGCTTCAGACATCCTTCACTTGTGCTGTGTGACGCCGTTTTTCAGCTCAAACTAAAGCCAGAACAAATACTCTCCAAGCTTATTGTTTCTGTTGTTGAGGCAGTGCAAAGCGTCATACATATGGCAGCGCTCCTCCCTTTCTCCCAGCCCACTCACAGCTCCAAGTTGTCCGCTCCTCAGCGAGAATGAATGGAGGGAGAGGATGCTCCGCCAATAAACTCCGCTTTCAAGATGTGGCGCACACTGGAGGCCACAATGCGACGCTATCACATTAGCACTGGAGGAATACCTGTACCTAGACATTATCTGAGACGCTTAGCTTTTACAGCAAAACAGTTTATCTTTGAGAGCTGCAGCTTGAACCTATAATGGTGTTACGGCAGCAAGTTGGAGGCAGCGAACCATAAAAATAAATCCCTCTTCCTCCAGAGAAGTGTGTGTGCCATATGCAGGAGATCTGCAGACAAACAAATGTCAAAGGAGGAAAGGACAGAACAGGAAAAGGAAGGACAAGAGGACAGGGCAGGTAGAAATAGCCATTGTATTAAAACAAAACAAACTTGACAACCTAAAAACGTTCGCTTACCCACCTACATCGAGGATGTCCAGGGTGGTGATGTCAGAGGTGGCAGAGCCCAGCTGATTGGCTGCCTCGACCCAGATCTCATACGGGGTGAAGAGGGCGAGGTTGCGGGGGATGTGGCAGGAGTAACGCTGCTTCGCTGTGCTGTCATTTTCACACTCCTTCTCTCTCCCGTACCACCTGGACAGAAACAGAACGAACACAAATGACCAAAAATAAACTCTGACGTTTGTTAAAAAAAAAAAGGCAGACTGATCACTCTTAGCAGTTAGCACACGAGAACACACTGCAGCCTGTGAGTGTAGAATCTGCACGCGGCACTAATGCATGTATTGCTAGTCTACCTGAGTGGTGTCGGACGAGGTGATCACCTGTGAGCTGCAGCAGGTCTGGGGCGCTCACCTCAATTTGTACTTGAGAGTGTATTTGGTTTGGATGTGGGTCTCACCCCGCCCCCCCGGGCTCCACTTGCAGCTCAAGTCCTTCGTGTTGCGGGACCAGCACGATAAATTGGCTGGTTTCTCTGGAGGCACTGGAGGAAAAAAAAAAAAAAGAACGATGAAAAAACAATGTTTAGAGAAACTGAAATCAAGTGAAAAGTGGGTGAAGTCAAATGAAATGTTATTAAGACTATAAAAACTATAAAAGATTATTTTCTTTTGATCTAATTCTGAAATTTAAGAGAGTGAAGGCCAGTTTCTTTTCACTACATCAAGCCAGTGTATTTTAAAAAGCAGATTAGTCATAAAACCGACTGATTATAATCAAAAAGGCTTTAATGTGCAACTAAAAATTAGTTCACAACAAAAGTTTTTGTGAGTCTGATGAAGTTTCATTAACTTTTTATATCAAGATTACCCAAATACATAAACAGCAGATCAACATTTTTTCCCAATAGAAGCTTCAATTATCTTATTAATTATGATTTGTATTATAACTGTTGAGAGGGGAAACACATCATAATCCTTTTAGATTTCTTTATTTGATGACTTTAATGGATTGAAACTAGTCTTTGTTTTGTTTCATCTTCATTCATGTGTGTGTGTGTGTGTGTGTGTGTGTGTGTGTACATTAATAACAACATAAAATATGCTTCCAAGAGAGTTTCCTTTCATGTGTTATTATTTGGGTCTGTATTTATCTAAATGAATGTTAAAATAGCTAATTAGGGCGGGAAGTTCAATTAGGAAAGAATGCTTTAGACTATGTTTAACAAACATCTTATATCACGTTTTCAGATGATATATATCTTCTAAATAATTGTCACAACTGGCTTCTTAACATCCTGAATTTGGAATTACAAGGTTCACTATGTTTTTGTTCATAAAATATTAATTTCCTCTGAATATTACTAATGCTTTTGTGGCATTTGAATGCCCTTTTGGTTTAAATTAGGGACACAAACACCAGTTTTTGAAGATGGAAATATACAGTATAATATGGAATCATAAAACTTAGTTTAAAAAAAAGAACATTACAAACACAGGTGGCAGGAAAATGAACCAATAACAATGCTTTTGCACAAACAGAAAAGCCTCCACTTACTGCCCACATAGAGACACGAACCAGCCAGGACGTGTCCATTTGCTCCATGACACACGAGGTTGTCTCCAGACTGCTGCCGGGAGCCGTTGAGGTTGTGCAGAGTGACACTGAGGATGTCCGGGCTCACCACGCTGTACGTGCTGCTGGACAGCCACACCCCGTTAAGCGTCCAGTACAACGTGCTGGCGTGGAGGCCTAGCTCGGGGCTGAGCGTGCAGGTGGCTGTCAGACTGGAGCCGATATGCAGGACGGGATCCTGAGGGGAAATCACTGCTACATCTGGGGGGTGGACACACAAACTCTGCTATTAAAGCTTCTTTCTGTTGTAATGCACTTTTCTTCATGTAATGCTTTCATTAAAGTCTGTTAGTGAAAACTTTCCATCACAAGTTCTCAGAGCCCAAGGTGACGACTTCAAATTTCTTGTTTTTTCCAAAATCCATATATATTCATTTTACAAAAATATAAAATTAAGAAAATCGAAATAAATTGTTTTTTGTCTGATAAATGACTTAAAAGATTAATCATTTAGAAAATTTAATTTTCCTTGAATGGGCTACATGTTTAATCAAGTTTTAGTACTAATTTACCTAATTATTGGATGTAAATATGTTTAAATTCATTGCTGATCGTGTGCAGGACTCCACTACTTTTTTATATGATTTATATATTTCTAAGGCCACTACTAACAAGCGTACAACTTCCACTGATTAGACTCTTATCAATAACACACATTAGGCCCTCGGCTGGCTTTAGTCTCTGCAGTTTGATTAGTTTAGGGGCTTCCAACAGGAAATGATGCAGTGTGTCCAACATTTCTTCCCAACCATAAGTAAACTTTGTGTTTGTGAGGAGGAGGAGGAGTGCAGCAGCAGCAGCAGCAGCACTGCACCACAACAGAGCAGCAGCTCAGCACATATTTATGACCCAGTAATGAAGTGGATTTATGGAGCTTCAGTAGGATCAGTCAGAAAGGTCACCCTGGTTTGTCGGTAAAATCCTTGAATGCTTTTCCATCCCCCGACCCCTCTTAGACTCCAGGTTTTGCCTTTATGATTGATGCCCATGAGAAACCCTCTGCAGTGCATTTGAATGTGACCACTGGGCTCCTTCTTCACAGAGATATGAGGGTTAATGTGTAGAGTTTTATTAACCGTGCTCCAGGTGGGTGGTGGACAAGCTTTCCAACATATGTGCCACTGCGCCGTTTCCAGCCTCACCGGACTCGGTAGCATCGAATATGAAGAAAGATTTTCAGAGATATAAACTGTATCTACATGAGAGAGCAGTAATACGTGTGTTTTACATGTTTTTTTCCTCACACATAAAAGAAGCTGCTTGCAGATCATTTTCTCAGACTGAATTAGAATATTGTTATCTTTCTTGCATTTCCTTCATGCAACAGCGCAGATGAACACTGTTTATTTCAATTAGTCTCATCGGGTACATCACCGCCATGTCTAATGGGTCTTGTTCTCAGTCTTTTCCACCATTGGGTACACAATTACATCTAATGATTACTCATATTAATGTGGTGTCACTGCATCTGGGTTTATTTAAGTGGAAAATGCTTCAATTAGGCTAGAATTTCTGTTTTTGTTGACACTACGTCATTAGCTGGTTACAGTGCAATCTAATCAAATGTTTCCCAAATAAATACGGTTGTGTGATTTAGTGACATATACCACGAGACAATATATATTGTTTACACTGTTTATACCAAGGTTGTTATACCTATTAGTATTTCTGACTGTATAAGGTTCTCGTGGTCAGTCATGGATTGTTACTGACTGACTGCAGCTGATAAATAACAAGAACTTAAAGTACAGAAATACTACAGGAATGTTGGAGGTCGTTATATATTATATCATATTATATTAGAATATATAAGCATATCCATAGCAACCATCAGAGAGCATGGACAAGTTTATTTAAACGGTAAAATGTCCCTCTCAGTAGTACTGGTCATAAAAACATTAAGGAATTCAGTAAGTATTATCAAATGTGTTTATGTTAAATTAAAAAGTATAATAGCAGATACATAGTTATCATTCAAACATCATTTAAACTATCATATGTCAATAGTGATATCGGTCTGAAAAAAAAACTGGATCAGACAATTCTTTAATATAATTTTTGCATTAATTTGATGAAATGTTATGATTTGACAGATATTTAATTAAAAAACATTTGGTTACTTTATCCATAAACTCTTCCTCTATTGATTTGACACTACATAAATATATTAATACAAACTCACATACACTGTGATAGATGATTTTACCCATATCACCACACTAACAAGCATAGAAATTTCTTGAAAATCTACCTCCTGTGGTTACCTATTGTAATTATTATAGGTGGGGTGATAATAACACCTGGGCAGGTGATAAAAAGGTGAAGTTAAAACATGAACTCGTTTTGTTGGTTTGGAGCCTTCATATATTGCTGCAGCTCACACCATGAAACCCTGATCCTCTACATCCCAACATACAGCGGTCTGAACCGACAGACAGCGGTAATGTACAGCCTGTCTGCCTGCCTGCCTGCCTGCCTGTCTATCTGTCGTTTGGTACTTACGTGTCGAGGACAAAACCACATGTTGAACCAGGAGCAGGAGGAGAGACATGAAGGAGAACATGGTTCTTCCAGGTGTTGGTTTTCCTGCTAATTTCCCTTCCTGCCCGTTCCCCTTTTTCTTGAGTCCGGGATGTGGAGCGCAGACAGGGGGAGAGGTTGGAGCAGCTCTCCGGCGGATCTTCTCTTCTCTGGAAGTCAGGAGAGCAAACTGAGTGAAACACGAGGTTCGCTTCCTTTTAACTCCACAGTGACTCTGCTGTAACACTCAGGTTCCCACACTGTATGCCCCTCCCTTGTTTTCCCACACAGCCACAGTTCATTAGTGCTCCTCAACTGTCCCCTCCCTGACACACCCCCACAACACACACACACA